GCGGCGGTTAGAGTCCAAGCAAGGGTAACTAGGCCGGGGCCTACGAGGAGCAGCCTTCTCTCCACCAGAGGACAGAGAACCGCAACCTTCATCTCAGAGGTACGGTGCTAAGCGCTCCCCATTCGGCCCAGCCCAGCCTGCTTTGGCGGCGCCTTCTTCCTCCTTCCCTCGCTCTTTCGCTCACCCGCTCGCGCCTTCCCTGCCTGCCTGCGTCACCGCGGCCGCCATGGCTGAGAACGGCGAGAGCAGCGGTCCCCCGCGCCCTTCCCGCGGCCCTGCTGCGGCCCAAGGCTCAGCCACTGCCCCGGCGGAACCCAAAATTATTAAAGTCACTGTGAAGACCCCCAAAGAGAAAGAGGAGTTCGCGGTGCCTGAGAATAGCTCGGTCCAACAGTTTAAGGAAGCGATTTCTAAACGCTTCAAATCCCAAACCGACCAGCTAGTGCTGATTTTTGCTGGAAAAATATTAAAAGATCAAGATACCTTGATCCAGCATGGCATCCATGATGGACTGACTGTTCACCTCGTCATCAAAACCCAGAATCGACCTCAGGGCCAGTCCACTCAGCCTAGCAATGCCGCTGGAACCAATACTACCACAACATCGACTCCCAGGAGTAACTCCACATCAGTTTCCACAAATAGCAACCCATTTGGATTGGGGAGCCTGGGAGGCCTTGGAAGTCTTAGCAGCCTGGGCTTGAGCTCAACCAACTTCTCTGAGCTCCAGAGCCAGATGCAGCAGCAGCTTATGTCCAGCCCTGAGATGATGATCCAAATCATGGAAAATCCCTTTGTTCAGAGCATGCTCTCGAATCCCGATCTGATGAGGCAACTCATTATGGCTAATCCACAGATGCAACAGTTAATTCAGAGAAACCCAGAAATAAGTCACCTGCTTAACAACCCAGATATAATGAGGCAAACCCTTGAAATCGCCAGGAATCCAGCCATGATGCAAGAAATGATGAGAAATCAAGACCTGGCTCTGAGCAATCTCGAAAGCATCCCAGGTGGCTACAATGCTCTCAGACGCATGTACACTGATATTCAAGAACCTATGCTAAATGCTGCACAAGAACAGTTTGGGGGCAATCCATTTGCTTCAATAGGGAGCAGTTCCTCTCCAGGGGAAGGTACACAGCCTTCCCGCACAGAAAATCGAGATCCACTACCCAATCCATGGGCACCTCCACCGGCTACTCAGAGTTCTTCTACCACCAGTACCACCACGAGCAGTGGGAGTGGATCAGGCTCCTGTAATACTACTGGGAACACCATGGCTGCAGCCAATTATGTCGCCAGTGTCTTCAGTACTCCAGGCATGCAGAGTCTGCTGCAACAGATAACTGAAAACCCCCAGCTGATCCAGAATATGTTGTCAGCACCCTACATGAGAAGCATGATGCAATCTCTGAGCCAGAATCCAGATCTGGCTGCACAAATGATGCTGAATAACCCTCTGTTTGCTGCAAATCCTCAGCTTCAGGAGCAGATGCGTCCACAGCTCCCAGCTTTCCTGCAGCAGATGCAGAATCCAGACACTCTATCAGCCATGTCAAACCCAAGAGCAATGCAAGCGTTAATGCAGATCCAACAAGGGCTACAGACATTAGCCACTGAAGCACCTGGTCTCATTCCAAGCTTCACTCCAGGGGTGGGGGTGGGGGTGCTGGGAACGGCCATAGGTCCTGTAGGCCCAGTCACTCCCATAGGCCCCATGGGCCCCATAGTCCCATTTACCCCCATAGGTCCCATTGGGCCTGTAGGATCCACTGGCCCTGCTGCCTCTCCCATCTCTGGTGGCCCCCCTGGCCCTGGCGTACCCACTGCGTCTACAGTATCTAGCTCTGCAAACAGTGAAACCACGAGTCCAACATCAGAATCTGGACCCAATCAGCAGTTCATTCAGCAAATGGTGCAGGCTCTGGCTGGAGCAAATCCTCCACAGCTGCCAAATCCAGAAGTTAGATTTCAGCAACAGCTGGAACAGCTCAATGCAATGGGGTTTTTAAACCGGGAAGCGAACTTGCAGGCCCTTATAGCAACAGGAGGCGACATCAATGCAGCCATTGAGAGGCTGCTGGGCTCTCAGTCATCTTAATTACACTTCTGTACCTTGGAAAAAATGTATCTTATTTTTGATAATGGCTCTTAAATCTTTAAACACACCCGTGCTTTACTATCATTTTGATTTTTTTTATCTGTCAAGTTATAAATCTAATGTGATGCATTTTAAGGTGGTCAGTCCCTTCTCTCCCTTTCCCCTCTCCTTCCCTTCCTCCCCCTCCCCCTCCCCTTTTCTTTTCTTCCCATCTCTTCCCTCCTGACTTGTGTTTCCTTCTTTCTCTGTTGTGAATGGCGGGAATCAATGCTGTTTCACTCAAAAGAGCTGCATGCAAACACTTCTCTATTCTGCATTGTGATTTTTGGAAACTGATAGCGGCCTTCACAGTTGGTTGAACAAGTTCTGTCCTACATTTGTCCAGTTTATTTGCATTTTAAACATTAGCCTATGATAGTAATTTAATGTAGAATGAAGCTAATAGAAGCAAATTATTTTAAGCTCTCTAATTTGTGGTACAATATTGCTTATTGTGAGTTTGGCATGTATTTTTGCTAGCAAAATGCTGTAAGATTTATACTACTTGCTGACCTTTTTTGCTATATTTGTACACAGTACAGTAAGCACAATTGGAACTGTGCATCTTTTAGAAATATTACACTTGATAAGCAGAATAAGTGTAACCAAAATAGGAAAGAACACATATTTCTGAAACTACATATTTCTTCAATTTTGTAGAATCTTACAGCATCATTGATAAATTTCCCAGTGGAAATGTTGGCTAGGCAAGTTCAGTTAAAAATATAGTAGAAATGTTTATCCTGGTTATCTCTCTTAAATATATACTTTTAATTGTACAGAACATTTACAGTGTAACCTTGTGTCAGCATTCACAGATTGACTGTTTATAATCTTAATCTTTGTGTAACCTGAAGGCTCAGTGTAGTAATGCCAGGATAGTACTTTTACTTATTAAGGCTTTCTTCTCAGGTTCTCCCATAAAGAGATCCTAATATGCATTTTGATTTGTAATTGGAAATGTAACTTTTGCTGAAAATGTCATGTGATGTTTGAAGTATTTTAACTGCTATGTATAAAGGAAACTGTATCTTTTGACTTTATCATTTAATTTTCTTGTGCAGGTAAAAATGCATTTAAAATGACTAAAAAAAATTAAAAAAAGAAAAAAAATGGATAAATCTTTTCCTTTTTGCTTCCCAGCTTTAGGATCATTTTTTAATGTGTTGCCCCACTTCAAGATTATGTAAATATTATATTGTTTCTCTAATTTGAGATTTTATTAGAAACATTTTTCCCCATCTAGTTATTTTGATGTATCAAATCATTGCTGTGGTATGGATTCCTACTCATAACAACCCTTTAGACCAGAGTGAAACTGCCCCATAGGATTTACAGGGCTGTAAATATTTATGTAAGCAAATTGCCTCATCCGTTTTCCACAGAGTGGCTTGTGGGTTCCAACAGCCAACCTTTAAGTTAGCAGCTGAACACTTAACTGCTGTGCCACCAGGAACCTGATTTAGACAATTTGCCAATTGTTCATCTCCTTGCATTTGAAATTATGTGTATATATATTAATATTCTTCATATAAAGCATGTATATACTTTATTCTGTATTTTAAGTATCTTTAGTATGGGCTCCAATGTATATCGATCTGTAGTTAAGTATAACTTGATAACTTAAGACAGCCATTCCTGTTGATCACTTTTTTTCATAATTTTCTGATGATCCTGACATTTATTTTAATCCTGTCCCTACCCCAAATTGAGGCTTTGGTTGAGATTGCCTCAAATTGATAGGATAGTGAAAATGACAGAATTGCATTTCTTTTCAGAAACACAGTATCTTGCCTCCTTACAAGCAGCCTTTGAGAAAGTTTTATGTTAAGTCCTGTGTAATTTGTGATCAGGATATTCCCAGGTAATTATGGACCCACAGGAAACATCGAGCCTGTGAATGGGAGCTCTTACTTAGTGTTTTACCTGTGTGGTTCTTGTTGGTATACAGGAGAGGAATTTATTTTCATAGGTTAATATAAAATTTGATAATTTATTAAAGTATTACTTTGAAAGTTATTCAGTCGATCCTTTTGGATTTTTAGTAGGCAACCATATCAAGGATAGGTTATGATAATGTATTCTTTGCAACATGTATAACATAGATTTTGACTGGGTTAAACACTTCAAGAGCAGTGCTTATTAGGCAGCAGTGGTATCCTTTTATGTTTCTCATTTTAAGCAGAATATGTTTGGTGCAACAATTCTAAATTGAGATTTATTGTACTATAAGTGTTGGTTAGTATTTTTTTAATGAGTAAGCTCTTTAGTTTAAAAAAAGAAGAAAGAAACCCTTTTAACTCAGCATTTTCTAAACATATTTTAGTAAAGGACCAGTTTTTTGAATACCAAGTAACATTTTGCTTATCACTCTTCCTCAGAAAAATCAGCTTAGGAAATGGTTTATTATTTCATTGCTATATGATGCTGGTTATTTGTCACAAAGACAAAGTCTGCTATAACAAATTTAAAATTTTTAATGAAAAGAATGATTTTACAGGAAAATACTGAAATTATTCTGAGGCATAAAGAAGAGTAGTAACTCAGTAAACTTAGAAGAAACAGAATGTTGTTTGAGGTTGGTCCAGATTCTTAGAAGGCAAATTAATTTCAAATGTTCAAGGAACAGAAATTTTCATTTGTCAGATTTTTTTTAAAATTTATCTATCTTTGTTTACTACCCGAGAAAACCCAGATCTTTAATTTATTAATTCTAATATTTTTCCTGGTTGTTAATTTTTATTTGTAAATTTACTCATTTTTGTCTATTCTTTATTGCTTTTAACTGTTGTTCCTCCATCCTTTGCATAATGGAATTTTCTCCTATTATGTTGCAGGCTTTTTCCAGGCTGTTTTTATTTTTCCCTCCCTTTTTTTGGTGGTGGTCTTTATCTATTATTTATCCATTTGTCATCAAGTCAAAAAAGGTTATGTATGACATGCTATCCATTCCCTCCAAGAAGAGAGTGGAAGTGATTCTTATGTCTTCATGGTATACTTGCATGTCACTTCCTCCCTAGGACTGCACTAGGTGATGATGTATATTTATATTATTGTGCTTTAACAGGGTGAATTAGTAGGAAGGGAACTAGGGTCAAGGGAAACCCCAGTACAAAGACTTCACCCATAAACATTCTACATTTGCTTTTTTGATGTTTACTTTATGTACCTGTTAAATGAGCTCTCACCACTTGTGTATCTGGTTGGTGCATTAGTGCGGGTGTGTGTGTGTGTGTGTGTGTGTTAAACAACATTATAACAAGACCTGCTCCTTCAGTAAAGAGGATTATTGCATCAGGTCTGGATGACCATTTAAAATGAGAAATCACTTCAGGAGACAATTTTGGTTAACCTTGCCCTCTGAAAGGGGCAGCCCGCTTTAAGTGCTGTTGACTTGCTCAGTCAAGATAGTAACCGGTGAAATGATTCTTTTCAGGACCATAACCCAAGGCTTGGGGTTAGGGTGTTAGGGGAACCATTTGACCTGAGTAATCACAAAGGGACTCAAAATCACACTTTTGACATTATCTCCAAATTTGTTGATAACTCCAGCCACAGAGCCTGACTGATCTGATAGAATGATGTTCATACAACTTAAATATAAAAATTTTAAATTATATGACAATTTTGGTAACCTTAATTTGGTATTATTTTACTTCAGAAATATACCGGAATAAAATGTAACCTCTTGTAAAAGAGGTTCTATTCTTGTCTTTTCCACTACCTGCCCCCACCCTGGTGCTTTAAATTAAATAGAGTTAGTGCCAAGATTTTATCAATTCGTCAGGATACTCACAGAGCTATCTCACTGAAGGCAGTTGATGGTGTCCTTCAATTTGACCCCACCAGAACCACGTCTTGCATATATTCTTTGAGTGCAGTGCTGCCCTCCGTGCATGTAGAGGCTTTCCCCACATTTTGTTTTGTTTTGTTATGAGACTCAAAGAAAAGCAATGTTCTAAAAATAAAAACATGACCTGGCAGATGTCAGATTGAAGCCACTCCAAAGTGCAAGCTTTATGCTTGCCTAGATTAGACACTGATGATAGATAAAACCCTAAACCAACACATTTAAAAGTTTAGGTAAGCCACTCTTAGGTTTTTTAATCTCTCTTCATTCAATATTTAATTATACCAACTTTATACAGTGGTTGCAGCAGTGGGCTCAAACCTAATGATTGTGAAGATGGTGTAAAAATGGGCAGCATTTCATTCTGTTGTGCATTTGGACCACTATGAGGCCCAACTGACTCGAGGTACCTAACAACAATTTTATGTATTACATATATATGGAGAAAGATAGATGCAGTTGCCTATTTCTGTAAAGATTTGCACTGTCAGAAAGCCTATATAGAGTTGCTATGAGTTGGAATTGATATGTGGCAGTGGATTTTTTTTATATCTGTTTTAGCTGTATTGAAGTATTTGAACATAGATCTGGGCTCTCAAAGACAGCACTTCCAAAATCCAACTTAAAAATGTCTTGACTCAATGTATAGATAAACAAACTAAAGTAATTTCAGGAAAGATTCTATATTATCGAAAGGATTACTGACAAAAATCTAAGAAAGAAAAAATGATTCAACCCTAGCATGGATTTCACCAGATTGCCTTATCAGACTAAATAACAATTTCAATTATACTGGGATAACCGTAACAGCTAACATATTCATGGCTGTGTGCAGTTTTCATAACACTATGTTTTTTAGGTGCTATGGAGTCAGTTCTGCTTCACAATAGAATGAAATACTGCCCAATCCTATGCTATCCTAACAATTGTTGCTATGTTTGAGCCCAGTCTTAGAGTTAGTGTATCAGGCAGTCTTTTGGGGGGACTTAATTATTTTTGCTGACCCTCTACTTTATCAGGCACGATGTCTTCCAAGGACTGGTCCCTCCTGATGACATGTCCGTAGTAAGACAAAGTCCTACCATTTTGCTTCTAAGGGGCTTTCTGGCTGTATTTCTTCCAAGACAGATTTGTTCTTTCTTTTGGCAGTCCATGGTATCTTAAACATTCATCATACACAATAATTCATATGCGTTAATTTTTGTCTAGTCTTCCTATTCTTTGTCCAGTGTTTGCATACACATAAAAAAACTGACATTGAGTCAGTTCTTATTTATAGTGACCCTATAGGACAGAGTAGAATGTGTTTCTGAGGCTGTAATTATTTATAGGAGCAAAAAGTTTCATCTTTCTACCATAGAGTGGCTGTTGGGTTTGAACGTCTGACCTTGTGGTTAGGAGCCTAAGGCATAACCCATTGTGCCACCATGGTTTTTCACATGCATGTAAGGCATTTAAAAATACCATGGCTTGGGTTAGGTGCACTTTCAAAGTTAACATCTTTGCTTTTGAACACTTTAAAGTGGTCTTTGGCAGCAGATTTGCCCAACGCAATTAACTCCTTTTATTTCTTGACTGTTGCTGCCATAGTTGATTATGGATTAATTGTTAGAGCAGATTGTGTGAAAGTGCACACTTTAGAAACAGCTATGTCACAAATATTAACTGCAATCTGGAGTTTGCCTTTTTGACTTTTGGCTAATACTTGAAACTGCCCTTCCGTGCCTCTGTCCACAAGGGCCTATTACATATGTCTCCAAATTAGCAATCACATGGGTCACTTATTTTAGCTGCTCTGGAGATGCTTGCCTTTTTGTTGAGCTGTCTCTAAGACCTCAAGAGGGCAATTTTGTGAATATCATCAAGGCATTTATCGGGTTTTTTTTTTAAAAGACTATCCTTGGGAATAAAACTGAGCTAGTTAATGATTGGACTATAGTGGGTGTGTAATTTGGATTGACAATTGTTTTAATTTGGGTTCTCCAGAGAAACAAAACCATTGATGCTTGTATGTGTTTGTATCTAGAAAGATTTGGCTTGCACTGTTGTAGAAGTAGGTTAAGTTTAGTACAGTTCAAGTCAGGTCTCTCTTTTTGCATGTAGCTATGGAAACGGACAAACAGGAAGCAGGATGAAAAAACAAGGGGGAGTCAAAGGCTGGTGGATGCTGAGGTAAATCCTATGT